CGCCAATACCATTCCTCAGACCCTTACCGCCGCAACGCCTCCCCGGAGAGACAGAGGCGCATCAACGAGAAGCCCAACGGAGTAGAGGCCGTATTGAAGGAACCTGCTAGGACTTCTGAACTCAGCCTGCCGTTCGAGGACAGCTTTCTCCGTGAGTCCCCGGCCATGGACCGCCTGAACAGGGAGGCCCCGCTGCCGCCGCTGCGCAGGGAGGGGCGCCTGTATGGGGAGGACAGTCTGCTGAGGAAGGCCTCCTCCATGGAGAGAATCTACAAGGGGGACAGCCTGCTGAGGGACCTGGCCGCATCGCGCAGCCAGAGAGACGCCACCTTGCCCAGAGTGCGCACCCCCGACTCAGATTCGGCCTACAAGAGGTACAGCTCGCTGCTGAGGGGCCGCTCACCTGAGAGGACGGTGAGGGACGACGGGCGCTTCGCCAGCCGCGACAGCACCCCCGAGCCGCAGTACCGAGCCCGCAGCCTGGGACGGGACATCTCCCCGCTCAGGAGCTTCAGGAGGGACGACTCGGAGGACGAAGAGGACGATGACAATTTCGTAGCGGCTAAGGTGAGAGAGTACTACAGCACGCTGAAGACCGACAGCAGCCGCTCATCCGCCCTCCCCGAACCCAAGAAGACCTACAAGGACAACCACAAAGACCTGAGCATCTGATTGGACGGCTGTCAGCCAATCACAGCCACTACCCACAAACACCTCAAGTTCTCACTCACATACTCACTTGGTTTTACAGAAATGCACCCAATTGTGAACAAACCTAGATACACCCACACACACACACAAATAATGTTGAGTTACTAACAAGACAGTGATTCCAAAATGACTTTTGAACGTTTTTTTTTTTTTTTTAATTGTATGTTACTTTTCCCTTATTTTTTTATTGTTTTTGGTTTAAGCATTCTACATTTACAGTAAGTCAGATTTTTCCAGAAAATGTAAAACCATAAAAAACAATGATGTGCCTAACAGTTCCATTAATGAGCAACATTTTGATTTTGATTTGATATGTGACGGGCATTTTGTGCCGCACTGTCAGATGATGAAATGTATGTACTTTTCCACGAGGATCCCACGGAAGTACCGCGCACCTGGATACCTGTAACCGGTGCTCACAATGATGCTGTGCATGTCTTTACCGGTTTCAATGTCTCTCTCTCTCACTCTCTCTCTCTTTACTCTCCCTCCTGCCTACTTTTATTCTCCCTCTATCTCTCTCTGTCAATCTCTCTTTCTGTCTTTCTCTCTCCCCAGTGCCACTGTTTTTTAGACATTTGACCAGACTATAGCACAAGCCTGCATTTGTTTGTATATTTTTGACAGTTTGCAGTATGTGTACATTCAGAGGTGATCATTTTAAATGAATGAAGGGAAAATTAAAAGTTAAACTATGATGATGATGATGTTAAAATAAAATAATATATTCAACGAATAAAATAAATGTGTGGTTGTTTTGGTTCTTTGGTTTTCCCGGCCATATTTTATTTTAAGCCATTAAACAGGTTTAAGCAACACAAACATGGAGTGTAAGTGTCATAGATAAGAGTGTAGAGTACTGAGCTCTACTCATTTTGGCAAACAAGACAAAAGAGTCGAGGCTGACATTATTATCTCAGGCCTCCCAAAAGTGTGTCTGTGGAAATAAAGTCTTTGAAGAAAAGTAAAGCTGAGAGCTCCCATTTTTCACAACATCAAAGCCTGGATAGACCAGTCTTGAAAAATGTTCCTCCTCTCCCTGCTTACTTTGATTTTGTTGCGGTTTCTATGCCCTATTTCTCCCGTTGTCCTCAAGACTCTTTTCTCCTCCTTTCTATCCACCCTGCTTGCCGAAAGATTTCTCATTCAATAGAAAACAGACGGCACAGAAGCTGCATCCCTGATTCTGGACGGTGACAGCAGTAGGTGGTGGATGAGGCCAGGGAGGGTTTTTTCTTCCCTTCCTAGAAACAACAATGTGTGAGATAAGAGAAAAACAGTACAGAGTGGTCACTCCTGGTGACCTGTGAATGCCAGCAGGGATTTACTTCTGCAGAGAAATGAAATGTGTTGTCTGGCAGTGCTTGATGCTGAGGTGCAGAGACAGATGAGACACAGCATGTATTCACCACTGCTAAATCCAGTTCGAGATACATGAGAGGTGCTGTTTTTTCTTTTATCTTTTTATTAGTTTTGGGAATGCAGTTTTAAGAAACTTCCATTTACATATTCAACATGGCACGTGTCTCTAATTGTCTGATAATGACTGTAAGGGTCACATTTACATTATACATATGTCTGCTTTAAGATGAACTATGAAGATGTACTTCATTTTCATCATGTCGTTTCTTCCAGTTGCTACAACATGCAAAGTTACTTGAGTTGATACCATATGTTCAAAAGTATGCATCCAAGATTACCCTGTGGACACAATCTGTGCAGCTCATAAGAGGAAATGAAAAGCAGAGATGAAGCATCACGATCAAACAGTAACATATCAGAGCTTTTCTTGGCCCACTTTTCAATTTTACTTCTTTTGATGCAACGATCTGAAAGTTGTTTTCACACGGCTACATTTATGGATCTGGCTTCCTGTCGTAGAACAGGATGCATGCAGAGCTGCTCAAGACTGTTGAATAGAAGATGTTGGTTGCACAGAAGGTAAATGTATACCTTATTGTGGATTTCAACTTGTATTTGGTAAAGTATTTACTTGTGTAAGTATTCAGTAGCACTGTCCACAGAGAGACCTAAAAGAGACGTTTGAGTACCCTGCAAACATTTCTCCTCTCTCTCCTCTCTCAGTGAAGGGGAAGCAGCTTCTAAATAATGGATGTAATCCACTTTCCAGCAGAGAAACCCTCTCCTCCCTCTCTTTAAATCTCTCCCTCCATCTTTATCAGGACACACTCCACCCCTTCTCTTCATCAAATGCGGGAGCAGAGCTCACATGTTTTATTGCCTGTGTGACCCCAGACATGATTAACTGCCCGGTGACGATTCATCATGTCAATGCCAGGCAGGAGGGAAAGGATACTAATGAAAAGTCCAACGACAACATACAGCCCAGAGTGGCTCCAGGTGCTCCAACACCGACCTTGCATCCCCTCTGCTCCTCTGTTGCCATGGAAACACCCATGCAACAGGCTCTCTCCTCAAGCAGACAGGAGTTGTGGATGCGTAAACAGGGCTGAGGGAGGAAAGTAAATGAAAAGAAAACAAGAGGGCAGGGTTATTTTTGGCTGCTCGAGATTTCAAGATGCTTTCGCTCAAGAGAGGGTAAACGTTTTTTTAAATGTTGAAGTACTCTCAGGAAGCTCAGCATTTCTATCTAACAAGCCTGTCTCCCACTGCTGTCATGCTGTAACTCTTCTTTGTCCTAATACTGCATCTGTCTCATGCTCGGCTGTGCATGGAAATCTTCTCAGGTAGAGAGGTGTGGTGGAGCAATTTGTTGCGGCTGCTTAAATGTGTGTTTTTCTTATCATGGTTATAGCAATGGCACTCAATATGGTGTATTCATTTAAAAGCTTGAGGCTATTGCGGAACTGGGCTGCAGCTGTCACACTAATCAATCAGCAGCTAAAAGAAGGGTAGCTATATGTAAAGAGATTTTTTTTTAAAGCGCATTATTCAATATTTATATTTTTTATTCATGCTAGCAGCCTGGCTCAGTGGATGTCATTCAGCCTGCTGGTGAATCCCTGACCTTCACAGCCATTGTGATTGATTGCTGTACAATTTGGTGTAAATATTCAATGAGCTAGAGAATGAATTTTAAATTACTTCATGATCCCATTACTTTTCTTCGTGTGCTGCCATAAGGTAATTCTTTCTTGGCTAAAAGTTAAATATCTCAACAACCTGATCCAACGGAATGGATTATCATGACATTAGACACAATCACATATGTAACGTGGTTACCTGCTAAACATCAATATATTAACATGGAGTTAATGTGACCTAGCATAAAGCTCAAAGCTGTTCTGGGCCCATAATACATTCCCATAGTTGCTAGCATGGCAACCCAGTCTCACGGCATTTCGTATAATAGTCACGAAATAAATGTAATCTATTGATTCGTGTTCACCAACACGATTTTCCCATTTTTTTCGTGTCACACAGAACGATTTTAAAAGCACTGTATTTCTATTGGTAGTATGTTTCGTGCCTGCACCACGACCGGAAGCTGTGTGGTTCATAAAAACATTTTCTTAGTCAATATCAAGCCACGATTATTGTTTCTATTTTAAATTGTATAATGCCAGACCTTTTTTGCCGTCCGCAAGGAAAATAAATGGGACTCGGAGCCTCAGATTACAGAAATCTGTATTTTTGTTATATTTGTTATTATTTGGTGCAGGCACGAAACATACTACCAATAGAAATACATTGCTTCTAAAATCGTTCTGTGTCAGAATATATTCTGACACAGAACGATTTTAGAAGCATAGGGGAGAGTGGGGTAAATTGAGCCATTTTTTAGTTATGCTGTCCTCTAAGCAAGGAGAAATGACACATAGTAAAAATGAAAACACACTATAATTCAGGATGTCTCCTATCAATGGCATTGATAATAATTAATATCTGATCAAGGGCAGTGAAAATATTACTTCTTAAAAAAAAACTTGCCCCAGTGTAGGGGTAAGTTGATCCAGGTCAGGGGGTAAATTGAACCACTGTTCGAACCTGGGCATACCTACAACAAATCTTAAAGGTAACTATAAACAATAAATAACAAAACAAATACAAACTTAGTTTTTCAAATATTTTTGATATACATTTTTGATTGAATTGATTGATTTTTCAATGTTAAAAAAAAATCAATCATACAAATGGTGATACAATTTCATACATCTTACCAATCAAACACAGGGTAAATTAAACTTTAAATGTAGCCTACAATGAGCTCGTATTATCAACTTGGCCTACTTTCATTAATTTCTCCATTGAAAAACTGTCTCAACTGGCCACCATTTTAGAAAAAATAGCCTAGCATTAAAATTCAGAGTCATCACATGGTTTAATACACTGCCAACACATCAATATATACAATATATGTGTTTAAACCTGGATACTTTTTTTTTTTACATGACAGCCGATANAAGAATTTCCTGTTGAGCCTAATGTCAACACCAGCACCTCAAAAATAAGGACACAAATGGCACATTTCCACTGCAGCGGGGTAGCCCCGTTTAAGCGTCCCTAAGCGTCCTCGCTCAGGCCTCGGGCTGCCGTGGCGCATTTCCATTACAGTTTAGGACCTGGGGCAGCAACGCAGTGTAGGTGGGGCAACTGTGCAGAGACATCCCGGAACACTTTCACATTTGGAGTTGTTCCGTCGAGCTCCCGCTGGATTTTATCATCCCCAATGAGATGGAGGAACGTTGTCACCTTCTCGGTCGACCACGGTGTGCTTTTCTTTGACGTTGCCATTTTTGTAGCTCCTCCGTTTACAAAAATGCTGCAAGCTTGCTTCTAGATATATATATGCGACGCTAGGGATGATCTCGCGCGCAATCTTGTGACGATTCTCTCTGACCAATCAGCAGTCGAGAGTGTTGACGTCACTAGTTCAGCCCTGGCCCTGGCCCTGGCCTGATAGAACCACGATTTTATGGGGCCGGAAAAAGAGGGAAAAAGTACCCGCTAGCCGGTGCTACGCTATATGGAAAGGCCACCAAAAACTGGCCTGGACGCTTGAGGACGATTAAGGACGCTTAAACGGGGCTACCCGCAGCATTGGAAATGCGCCATAAGAGGGGGTCTAATCAACAGAGAGATACTATTATTTCCTCAACTTTTATTGGCGGTTTCAAACCATCATTGACTGCTGACTCTTCTATTCTCTCAACCGGCCGTTAAGCTGTTAATCACTTACATCTACACTTACATCTACGGCTTAAACAATTGTGTCTGATCCCACCCACATCCTCCACCCATCGTCCATCTCTTTCCTTCTGGTAGGAGATTCAGGGTCCATCAAAGCAGACCATTACAAACATTGAATCTCAACACATTGAATGCATAGTTTAAATGTCGACCATGGGATTTAAGATAAGATAAGATAGTACTTTATTGATCCCAAATTGGGAAATGTTTGCGTTGCAGCAGCTTAAAAAGACAAGGCATTAGAGAAATGAAAAGACTAGAAATAAACAATCCAAAATGTAAACGTCTCAAATAGATGTTTACATGTTGTGCAAAATGTTGCCATTGTCAGTATGTTGTCTACATGTACGTGTATGTGCAAACTGTGTATATGTACATAAGTCATTTGTCAATATGTATGTAATATGTAAGATTTGTTATCTTTTGTGGAACTGGAGGACAGAGTTCAGACCAATGTCCTTAAGGGGACAATAAAGTAAATCGTATCATAACTTCTTCAGTGGCAAAGGACATTTCTAACAGCTGGCTATAAACAAGTCTTACCTTGTCTGTTGCAGTTGGCTTTTGTTGTAAATCAATAACTGAGATCCATAGAAAGGTTTGAACTGCAGCATCTGCATATTACTCCAAACCATAATATGTTATGATCAAAGTAAATAAGGTACGATAGAAGATGAACAAATCCCTGTCTTTGTTATCTTGGCCACTCTCCTGTCTTTATTGAGGAAGGATTGACTAATGAGTGGGATCAGCCCTCTTTGTTTGGAAGGGGAAAGGAGACACAGAGATACTGAGTGCACTCTTCTAGCAAAGCCTGTTTTCTATTAAATCTCTCCATTGAACTATGTTAGCTGTAAAATCCATGTGCATCCAATATGTGCACACCCGCCTGTGACATTTAAACTATGCCTTAGGCTATGGAGTTTAAATATTAGATACACAAATATTGTGCTAAAGTTATAATTGTGGAAAACAAGTCGCCTTGATTCAGAGTGCGTTTGGTGCTCTTTTATGCAGCGCAGTTAATCAAAAAGCTGAAAAGAGTTTCTAAACAATGAGACAATCAAAACCAATGAGGGCTTGCATGCCTTTGGTTTTTCAAAGTGTAAGATGTTTTATCTCTTAATGACATGCACCTGGTGAACAACTGGTGTTTCCTGTTCGTGCTTTGAATAGCAATTATGTGGAATGTCAGGAGCTATTATACAATAAGCATTTTCCAATAACAATCAGCGTCGCTGTATTGTTTTCCCCTGACACGTTCACACAGTCACTTGTGTGGTAATGGCGAGCACTCACCTTTCTGCTGAACAAGACCTGATGCTTAATCTAATTCTGACCTACCATACAACATGTCTAAGTGACAAGTCCCATTGTGCAAGGAAATCAATCACTTTCCCACACATGCAAAAACTAAAAGTCAGCATCCTCCTCCTAATTTGCAAGATCTCAACTTTCTGAGGTTTTTCTGTGTGTTCCCCCCTATTCTTGTTAGCGAGAGTGAGTGACTTAGAGGATCTCTGCAGGTGGCGGAGCCGTTTGGGGATGATGAGCGATGGTGTGTCTCGGGCCCATCTTTAATTCAGATGTCTCATGGTTCTGTGGTGGAGAGAAAACAAGAGACTTAAAGATCCAAGATTGATGCTCGAGTGGGAGGCGTGCACAGCCAGCGTGAGTCACACAGTTGAGGCACCGTGCAAGAAAACAAGCGGTGGATCTGCAGTTCGTATGTCATGCCTTATACTGATCGACTGGGCTGTCTGGTTTAGGTGTTTCATTCATAAATCGCTGTCTTTTTATGTGTTTGGGTGTACTGGAGCGCTGAGGGAATATTAACTGAAAATGCAGCTCAGAATTAATATTTGAGAAGTTTGGAGTTTGAAGGACGTCTCAATAAGAAATAAACATGGCTGGAAACCCAAGAGAGGGCCCTGGGGCACGAAATGGACCCCAGCTGACACCTCTTCCTCTCACTCTGTGGGCTACGTCTATTTCAAGGACACGTCAAAGGAGTCAACACTTATACATGTGGCACAGTGGCAGGGTTATTTACAGTCTCAAAAAGTGACCAATAACATGTCAGTTATTTGGGATTATTTGATTAAACAATCACATAAGCAAAGTATAAACCAAAATAAAAATGTTCTGAAAATTATAATTAAAATTGCCAAGTCAGGGATGCAAGGTCAGATACACCTCACTATATGTAGTGTTGCACCCACAATTACCAATATACCAACAATTCTGGGGGGGCTATAGCAACTCAGTGTTGTGACTCGACAGTTATGTTAGGTTAAGTTATGTTTTTTACTCTTGTCTTGTGTTTTGATCTTGTCACTTCCTGTTTTTATTTTGAAAGTAATCCTTCCCTCTCATTCCAGATCCCACATTTCCTGCCTTTGTGTGTTTCCCGCCCTTGGGATTGCTTGGCCCTGCCCTGATAGTTTTCACCTGTGCCCATCCTCCTCACCTATACAATTTAGCCCTTGTGTTTCTTTGTCCCATGTCAGTTTGTTATGTTTCATGTCGTGAGAACCTGGGCCTTTTGACTCCTGAAACTTTACTTTGAGAAATATACCTTTTGTCAAGTGAGTTTTGTTTTGAAGTACGACTTAGTTTTTCTTATTTAACTACTTTCTATTTTTGGAAGTACGACTTAATGTTTGTTATTAAACTACATTCTATTTTTGGACAACTGTCTTCGAGTTCTGCTTTTGGGTCCTGTGTCCTGTGTCTCAGTTCATAACACTCAGTTGCGGTCAATATCTATTAGCTTTTCCTGGTCATCCGACTGCTGCTTTGCATCCGGAAATGTAAAGAGTATGTGCGTAATATAAATGCCCTTACAAAGAGAAAGGCTAGGTTGAAACAGAGGTGCGTTTATTTTAAAGAATGAGATGAATGAATCACCTCTGTTTGAATTAAGAGAAGAACGGACCGATCACTGTTAATGACGTCGGCGCATCTCTGGTGTCGGCAACTTAAAAATATTAAAAAAGTTTGGAGGCCCATG